TGCTGAATGGATACATATATACATCAACCCAGCAAGCCTAAATCTAGTTGAAACTACCAGCTAGACTGAGGGCAATGGGTTTACTAAAGACTCAGCTCGCTAGATCTCCTTCCTTTCTTTCTCTTTTTGAAATAAAAACAAAAATAATACCAGGAATAATAGTTTTGCAGTGATTAAGCATTCTAAAAGCCATAAGAACAAAGAAAACAACAGGTAATAAACAAACTGATGTTCATGAGCCACAAACAACTCTTCATAATTTTAAGAATGTGATTGCTAAGAGAAAAGAAGAACAAACCACCTCCATCTCTAGAACCTGAAGCAAGGTACTAATGGAAAGAGTACTGGTAAATTTATGTTCAAATTTCTGTTTGGCAAAGAATCGTCTGGGCAAACTTTATCTCTCCTCCGGGCAACCTTTATCTCTCCTCCTTGGGCAGAAGAACAAGGGCTTGTTAGGGCAACCAGATATTTTTTTAGCCCAGGCAAAGGCTGAACTGAAGAGTTTTGGCTTCCAACACACACAGGGCATTTCATATATACTGATTTTTCTAGTGCACTCAAATCCCTTCTATAAACATCAGGAACTCTGGGATCTCTGAGATATGGTGGAGTTCTACCATTACAAGAAGACACATAAAGAAAAAGAATCATCATACCAAATTTGCTGCCAGTTAAGGCAGACAATGTGATTCAAATTTATTTGTAGAGTTAAACAAAGTTATTTCCTTTTTCCTCTTTTGCGGGGAAAATGCTTTATTTGCCTAGACAAATTCTAAATCAAGCCAGCAACATTTCTCCATCTCTACCTGGCACAGAAAGTGGATGTAAAACTACAGCCTGAGGAGTGTCAATGTGTGTAGCAAGCAGCTCAAGGACCGCAGAATAGGAAGAACAGCTGCCTGATAGCCCTCGGGTCACTGAAGTTAGAAGGAGAACTGACAGCACAAAGGGTTGATACTGTTAATCATACAAAGGTCAGAATGTGCAATTTATGAATTTTGCAGGCTTCTTCCCCAAAAAATTGCACATGGTGATCTTCCCATCACTGATTCCATGACAGTCATTTCCCAAAAGACTCCCTTGTCTTAAAAGGTAGGACTAAATTTAACTGAAGCATTGACTAATTATTTCAGCATTCTGTATTCTTTACACACACACACACACAGAGAGAGAGAGAGAGAGAGAGAGAGAGAGACTCACACAACTCTTCTCCAGAGGAAGGCTTTGGGATAACACAAGTCTAGCACACGTCTGTAGCATTTGGGCTGAGGTTAATACATCTACTACCCACTTTTAAAAGATGTACCTGATCAACAGCCATACCTACTTTTAGTGTGTTCCAGAAATGACAGATCAAAACAAGCATGATTTGCACATCCCTAATGTTAGCACACCACAAGCTGCGAAGCTTCAAGGTGTCTTTCTACAGAATCACATTATTTGCCATTTGTAGCATGTGATTTTGGTTCTGACTCATTGAACATAAGTGTTGATTTGGTTCAGGCTCATTAAAAGACAGCTCTGTGCACATTTTATTGGTAAATTTGATGTTTGCATGAATGAGCCACAAATTCTTTTTAATGCCACCATGACTTGCTTTCAATGTCTTTTTAATAGGGAGATCCATCAACTCTAACCTAACTGTGGATGTATGTTTTAACTGCTATAGGCCATTAAAATGCACACCCAAATGGCAAACCTTTAACTACGGAAAGCTGCATTCTCTCCCTGTGGTTTTAGTTATGTAATAAATTCATTTTAAACAAGGAAACATATTCTCTAGATTTCCTCTTAATTAAAATTCACGTAAGAGCAATGATGGGGAAGGGGAGGGGGATAGTTCAACAGCACTGCACCCAGTCAGGCTTTGGCATCTCCCACTAACATGTTATCAGACAACTGGGTTGGGGAAGTCTTCTACCTAAGATGCCAGAAAGCCCCTGCCAATCAGAGTGAAACATATGGGGCTAGATGGCTGACTAGGCTGACACAGGAGAAGAGGCAAAGCTGTGTGTATCCAATGATTCTGCAAAGGCATAGAATGTATTTTGGGGTTAAACATTATCTTACAAAAAATCTCACTATCACTTTAAAAAAAAGAGCCCCATGGAGCACTCAAACACTCAGTCTAGCACTCCAGTCATGCAAGTGACTGGTTGTGTTAGCACAGGGATAAAAATGTATGTCCCACTGAAATTGATCCAGTTGGGAGGAACAATGCCTGAATTTATATACACATTCAGACATGCGCTTCTGACGTTTTAGTCATTAAAAGTGTATTTGTTTGATGAAAATGTATTTGATAGTAAATATCTTAAGGTCACTGTAACTATGTTTTTCTTGTAGAAACAAATATGGTTACAGTTGCCTTGTGATTCTTCTAGCAGAAAAATACCGTATAAAAGGCTATTGTTTAGCACTATTACTTAGCAGTCATGTGGCATGTTTTAGTTGTCCAAAAACTCCTCACATAATTATGACAGTTCTGTGAGACTGGGCTATACCCTGCTCATTCTGCAGGCTGGAAAACTAGAAACTGAGTTGGTAGCTTGCAGTATTTGGCTTGAATCCAAGCGTTAGTCCCAAGCAGGATAGACACCCTGAACCACTGGGAACCCGGTAAGTCAGTATCACAATCAAGGGAACATGCATTGACTTGCCAAGTATCCACTGATTCAAATACCTATTCTATTTGGAAGAACAATCTGATTGAAGCCATGGTGTACATAAGCTGGTTTTGTGTTTACTTCCTATTTATTAGTACATGCAAAATGTGTGTGCACATGCACACACACTCAGAGAGAGAGCGAGAGAGCAATCTCCCTAGGAAAGAGGTTAGACTAGATTCTTGGTGTCAAACCTACGATTAAGGATGGTTACACATCTGAATCCAAGGACAGCAAGCTGAATATTTCTGTGTACAGACTTGCTGGGTTTTCCTTACAAACAACTGGGTACCCACAGATCCTGGGCAGGGCAACATGATCATACCTGAGCTAAGGATTAGGATCTCAGGCCCATCAGAGACAAACGGGCATTCAGATATGGTCACATCCAACATTTCATGGTCAGAGGTACACAGAAGTAAGGCTAGCATCATTATTCAGCACCCACAGGTAGCAGCTAGCCCAGGGTGCCAGCAAGACTACAACTGGTGCTTGTTCAGGGTACCCATTTAAATCACCTTGGCATGCCAAGCAAGGTTGCCACCATCTTAATTTCCAAAAAACCCTGCTGCAAGAAGTATTGCATGGGAAATCCAAATTGCAGGGAAATCCATCTCCCAGGCCTGCCCTTGTTCGCTGCTGCCAGATAAGGCCACCAGGACTCTCAGACAAAAGATGGTGCCTGTCAGAGGACATTTTACTTAGAACTTTTCAATCCAAGAGAGAGTCCTCTGGGCAACTCGCTTTAGGTTTCACAGCAAGCAGACTTCACTTGAGAGTAATTTAATATATAAAAGAAACTGGAAGTTGAAAAGGTTACTTTTTTGGACTAGAATTTTCAAAATTCCTCAACCAGCACAGCCACAAGAAACGCAAGACACACGGCCTATTTTTGCTTGCAAGCACCAAGGAACAAAACATGTCAGTGGAATTTCCTTTTGTCAGTTTCTCTACTTGGAAAAGTTGCCTGCCTCTTACTTTCCTGCCACCACATAGAGAATTAGAACATACAAGTCTAAGGCACTATTTTCATGACTTCTTCACTGCAGCATTTATCTACTCCCCATTTGTGTTGCATAATTTTTAAAAACCACTTGTTTTAACTTTAAAAATTTCAATGACTAATAAGCTGCATGGTTCATTTATAAGGAGTTGATTGTACAGTTAGATACAATATGACAGCACAAACTGTCTCTTGAAGAGCAGTCGATCAATCAAGCTGAGAGACAACTGTGCAACTCTAAATTTTACCAGCTCTTAATTACAGACTCAGCTGCCAAATATCAAAAGGAATTACAAAACCTTATGAAAAACTTCCCTGAAAATATACATGAACAAATACTGTACTGACTAACACACTGCAAGAACCTCAGCCAGCTACCTGCTACTAAATATGCACAAAACAGAGAACTCCAGCAGACTCACTGTATGAAGCATTAATACAGTCACTGTTGCAGTATCTGGATATGTGGACTCTATACTCAAAATATAGGCCACCAATGCACCTAGCTACGTAAGAAATGTTGTTGCTGTTGTTGTTGTTGTTGTTAATTGTATTTATACATTTATTGTATCTAGTCATTTCGACCACTCTAGGCGGCTTACAACATAAAACATGACAAGTTCAAGAAAAATTTATAACAATTAATTAATTAAATGATTTTGCAATGGGAAAATACCACAGACTTTATCTCCCTGTTAACATTATCTTAGCCACGATGGCCATAGAAGCTCTCTACACTAACATCAACCTAAGGAAATGTCAATCAATTCACAATCTCCTGTTAACATTACCTTAGCCACGATGGCCATAGAAGCTCTCTACACTAACATCAACACAAAGACAGACTATACAATTTAAATGATAAAGCACACATAGACATCACCCTCTACATAGGACAAATGGGACTCAACTTGGATTTCATGTCTAGTTGGGTCTACCAACCACTACACCCCTTTATCTTAGAGCCCTATATGTATGTTTTGCCATATATTCTCTGTATTCTCACTCATGTCTGAAGAAATCCACAAAAGTTCACATTAAAATATAAGTAAGACAAAATGTCTTTGTCTTCTTTATTTTTTGCTTTTGTTTTGTTTTGCGTTTCTTATTGACTAGTACCAAAGTACTTTCATACCTCCTGTTAGTCTTTAAGGTGCCAAAATGTCTTTGTCTTCTTTATTTTGTTTTACGTTTCTTATCGACTAGTACCAAAGTACTTTCATACCTCCTTTTGCTGATGTGAATGTTTCCCTATTCTTTTTTCTTTTAAAAACACACAGACACACAGACACACAGACACACAGACACACACACCACAGTACACTTACTTGCTTTTCGTGCTTTGGTGTCATCTTCCAAACTCCACACAAAATGAATCTGAAAATATAAAAGTGGTAAAGCCAAGTAAATATAACTGGAGATGAACTGAAAAGGGGAGAAGGTTATATTGAATGCAATACTTTGTCCAATGATATAATTCTTGATTCGGCTGAAAATGCCAAGAAAAATCTGTCCCAGGTGTACCTCACAGCCCAAGAGATGATAGAGCTCTAATAATTTTCCACAATGCGTGCATTTTCCACCTTTTCTACCAGTCAAAGAAATGAGGAATCACACACACTGCTAAATTCCTCCCAACCAAATGGAGGACAAACCTATCAGTGACAACTTGTCACAATGGTGATACTCCAGCATCAATGGCATCATGCCTCTAAACACCAGCTGGTGGGCAACATGAATGGGAGGTTCTTGTTGTACTCCTGCCTTGTTTTGGAGTTTCCCACAGGCATCTAGTTGGCTGCTGAATATACAAGAAGCTGGACTAGTTCACCGTTTGAGTGATCAAAATCCTGCCATCAACAAGAGATTCTTCTTCAGAAGATAACTTTGCTCTGCTCCACTGATTAAATTACTGAATGTCTGAATAGTAATTACAGATGTAAAATATGTAGCCACTTGTCATGTATTGATAAAATTCATCTCTTGCAGATCACTGCAATACCCCTAACACCTACTGTAGTTTGGTCTAGGCCTGTGATCAGTAGAGAGAAACAGTCTAGGTCTGATGCTGGCTTATGGACTAAATGACCCTTGGGATCCATTCCAACTCTACAATTGTGGGATTCCATTAAAGGTTCATCTCTCTCCATCATGTCTTCCTGCAAACATATGCCATCTTCTGTGAGCCCTACTTGCCACAAATTATCCATTTTTAATTTTCTCTGCCCACCAAATTAATTTATCTGTATAATCATAAAAATATCCTTCTTTGAAAAGAAGCCATTTTTCCCATCATGGAGTGACTCAGGTTCTTTGAGAGGGGCTAGCAGGTCACAAGACAGCAAAGACTAGGGACTGTTAGTGGAGGCTCTCAGTCAGAGCCTACGGAGTCATTAGATGCCAGACTTATTTTTCTGTCTGTGTGCGAATATGAGCAAACTTGGGCCTTTCTGGATGACTCATAAATAAAGCTGGAAAATGTGTAATGATCCTTGGCAATATTGTTACTTCAAATATTATATTCTACAGTGTTCAAAGACTGGATTTCTGCCAGTCAAATAAACAATGCACAGGCATTAGGTATGGCAGAAGAAAGGGACCTGGGAGTTTCTGTTTACACACTCTTCTCAGACTGGGGGAAGTTGAGGGATTTTTTACAAGCAGCCTTGATCCACAAGGAAAGTTCCTCTTCTAATTGAAATCCTTTGACATACTGACCTGACACAATTTGCACTGCCATGAAAATGGCTAGGTACCTGAACTATCTATTGCCTCAGCTACTCACAATATGGATAGTCACACCTAACATTAACCAGGAGAGACATGCATATTTGGGGGATTCTACAGGACAAAACCACATCTTGACAACAAAAAACATTAACATCACCAGGCAATGCCATAAAACTCTGGCATTTTTAGTGTTACTATTGAGCATATTTTGTTCAGGCCTCATTCTTTATTGATGAGAAAGTCACTCTTTTAGGGGGTGGAATCTTTTAAATAGTTATTTCTGCCTCATTTGTGGCCTTGCAGAAGTTTCCAAGACACTCCTCCAATTTTGGAGTAGCAAACCAAACTCACTCCATGAATAGTCAACAACAAACACCTCAGTCAAAAATTTACTGAAATGTTTCTTCACCTGCCATCTCTGTGGCACAGCGTCTTTTCGAATGTCCAGGTTATGGGTTCTTTCTCTGAGGAAGTAATTGAAGATGCTGCCCAGTGTACTATAGTGGACAGAGTGATGAACTAGGACTCAAGAGACATGGATGCAATTCCCCACTCGGCTACGGAAACTCACTGGGGTAGAGTGAGGGCGAAACTGCTAAAATCGCTCCTTTAAAAATCACTTGACAGCATATAACAACAGCAACTGCAAATCCAATATTAGAAACTAGAATAACTGTTATTATTCAATTTAGCTGAGGCCACTAATCTTATACTACTAGACTATACAGTATTTGTATCTTTTAAACATGGCTTAAGGACTAATGCCACAAAAAATAATACAAAGCTCAGGGACGGCCACATATTCTGCCTCAGTTTAGTAGTGGATTCGGTTCAGGCAACAGTACCAGCCACTTGCTTGAGTTCTATGAAAATTCCCACCTGTGATCTCACAAGGGCTGAAATCAATGTCTGTGCCATTACAGAAGCCATGAAACATAATTATTCACCACACAAACACATCACATCTCAGTCCTTGTAAATAACTAGCAAAACTGAGGACTGATACACAGTTAAGTAGCACCAGTTGCAATGCTTTGAATCAAATCAGATTTCCCAGGCGACATCATAATCCAGACTACTCTTCATTTGATGCTGAACCAGTTGGTTGTCTATATATTTGTACTACACCATTATATCAATCCAATACTACTGTAATAATTATGACTCCATCTTACCAAATTCCTAGGATTTACATTTTAATAAGATGTCTTATAGTTCTCTGGTAGAGAGCTCTAATATGTTCCCCTCAACTGCAATTCCCAAGTGAATTTAATAAAATCTAGGGATTACTTCAGTTTCATTCTGTAGTACAGATACACCAAAATGTAAGTATTTACTACAACATTCCACTCATTCTTATATCAGTCCAATGCTACTGTAATAATCATGGCTCCATCTTACCAAATTCCTAGGATATGCATTTTAATAAGGTGTCTTATAGTTCTCTGCTAGAGAGCTCTAGTACATTCCCCTCAACTGCAATTCCCAAGTGAACTTAATAAAATCTGGGGATTAGATCAGTTTCATTCTGTAGTACAGATACTCCAAAATTTAAGTATTTACTACAACATTCCACTCATTCCATTTTCCTACTTTTTATAATACACTGTACGTCCAAAATAAAACACATTAAAAAAGCATGAAATCATATTTCCCCCCCCCTCCAGGGAGCATGAAACTTTCCCCATTTCTCAGTAATTTCCCACCCAATGGTGTGTCGTCCCCCCAACAGCTTAAAATCAGGAAGCTTGAATTTCAAAGTATCTCCGGGCAAAGTCTTTTTAAAAAATGATCAAAGGAAGAAACTTTCCAAGGTGTTGCAATACCGGGGAGCAAAGTATATGGACACACTGTGGATTCTTTTCAGTTCTAAATGAGTGTGACTAAGCAAACACCGATAGAATATTTCTCAATGGACCGAGCAAAACCAGCACAGGAAGCTTGCGCCATATCAGAGAACATCACCATCAACTCAGTTTTGTTGACACAGACTTGCAGCTGTTTTTCCAGGTTTCAGACAGCAGACTTCCCTAAATATGCTGGGGATTTAAAGCAGGGGTGAGCAAAGTTCGACCCTTCAGATGTTTTTGGACTACAGTCCCCATTGCGCTTGGCCAGCACAGTCAATAGTGAAGAATACTGGGAGTTGCTGCACAACAACAGCTGGAAGACCCCAGCTAGGACTGAGTTATAGCCACAAGTCAAGGTAGAGGCCAACTGCAGGTCTTCTATCATGTTTGTTGTAAATGCAAGCTTAATATATGTTTGCTTAGTAACCAGCTCTTACAGGATTAAATGCACTGGGCAGCAGGAGTCAATGGGCAGCTCGGCAGCTGAAATAACAGCATGAGCAAAGAGGTTTTTTTTTTAAGACAAAAAGCAGGTATTAGCCCAAGAGAAATCACAAGGTTGTTAATTTGTTTACTGCTGTTTCCACTGACCCAGCAGCACAAAATACACATCAGAGATGAGCCACTGTGAAAAGACAGCACATAGATTTATCCGCTTTGACCCATGCAGAGGTATAAGTATCAAGTCATGACCCTTAGTAGTAATGGTGGGTCTAGGAAAAAAAGACATCGGTCAATCTTAAGACCTAGCAAATATTCAGTAGGAAAGAAGTGACTGGCATAAATCATCCACTGTGAAAAACACGGTGCTGGACTAAATAGTTTGTGGTCTGCTCCAATAAGGCTCTTCTGCCTCTGCCATGACCTGAAGACTGTATTCCTTACTGGTCTCCCAGTCAACCATGGCCAACTATGGTTAGCTTCCAAAACCAAGTGAGATCAGTGAATTCAGATATGGTGGTATCTCGGATACTGTCCTGATTTAACAGTGAGCAACAAGGGTGCCAGTAAGATTGCTCTCCACAACTCTCTCTCCTAAAAGCACATCAAGTTCCGAGAACTTGTCAAAAAGAAAAAAAAATTATTTACAAAGCATTGGTGATGACTGGAGTTCTTCAGGGGGTAAAGAGCACAAGACGCTTGACAGAAAAGTTTGGGTAGGATACAAAAGAGCACAGGCTCTTCTTGATAGCATACTAAAATCAGGTGTAGGGAGGTGGGTTGAATGCATTAGGAGGTGAGGAGACCTATGCACAGACCCATACCTTAGGATTAGAAATGGGGGTATTCGTATTCATATACGAATACCCCTGTACCATTCACTCACCCATCCACTGCTGCTGTGGCTCCACACTACCTTCCAGTCGCTCCAGAGCTGGTGGTCAACTAGCCACCAGTCAGCCTGGCAGGGAGACTCGTCTTCCCTCCTCCTACCAGGAGTAGCTAGTCGACCACAAGCTCTGGTCAATGAATACAAATACCCTACATCTCTACTTGGATACTAAGGGGATAGGACATTTATTCCACATTTCAAAGGAGAATGGAGGCTGATCTAATCACTACATGATTACTGACTTTGCTTGATAACCTTTGTTTCCCAACACAGCATTCACAAATAGGCCAAAGGGAAGTTAAAACACAAAACTGAAGTGTTGATAAAGTGGAGCTAATGTGGCAACAGTTTTCTATGCTTTAAGCTTCACAATAATCTCACTTGTTCAGTTTGTCTGCACTGATTCCCTTAAAATTAGAGCCAGTGTGACACAGTGGCTAAAGACTACTAGAACTAGTAGACTAGAACTATGGGACCCAGGTTCAAATCTCCACTGAGGGACTGATCCTAAGCCTGCCAATGGCCTGAATCCAACTGATAGCTCCAACAACAATTGGCCAATTGAATCAATGAGATTTCCATAAGTCTCAACTCACCATTTCATAAACAATTCAATGGGTTTACTCTATTTGGGAAAAGCAACTGGATTTAGGCCAATATTCCTCAAACTAATCTACCAGGTAGGATAGATCTGCAGACAAGATAGAGGTGGGGACTATGCTTCCTTCAGCTCCTTAGAAGAAACATGGATTAATTTAAAATAAAAATAATAGATTTATTTTGATATGGTCCTCAATTACTTTCTATGTCTTTCCTGAACATACATTATTTTTTCCTCCTAGGATTTGGCTGGATAAAGGGCTGGGCATGTGCTCCCATAAACAGGTGACTCAGAAATGCTTCCAGTTCCTCCTGCTTATCAAACATTAAAGAAAAGGGATATATGCACTGGGGGTGATAGTTTTAAAATGTATGAAGAGTTTTCTGAAGGCAAACCAAATCTCAACCCCTGCTGATGTTGTTTTGGAACTTCTGATGTAATAAAATAATTATTAGATGGATGATACTTCAGTTTCTCAACTATGACATCCCAGAGATACAACAGGATGTCCTAATGAACAGAATGCATTCATGTGATGTGAGTGATCAACATTTACACATTCCTTTCGCAGTTAGTCAGAGAGAAGTTAATTACTATGCATATGCAAAATAATGATGAGGTTAGAACCCTGAAGCAAAAGAAGCTCAGGAAAGGGAGACAGGATGTTCCCCATCACACAGATGACTGTGTGTTGTTGTTTTCCTGAAAGCCAGTCAGCTTTCTAGCAAATGTGATGCTATCTTCAAAAGCAGTACAATATGGGCAAAATTGCATGGGCATAAATTTACGCCAACTTAATGCAGTGCCAGAAATATTTAATTTAAGCTAATGGAAAGCTTCCTATACTCTCCACTTTAGGTTCCAAAGCTCTCTAGAGCTTCCTTTTTCCATAGAGATGCCTTTGGGAGCCTCAGGTAGGCCACTTCAGTGGTAAATTATTACCACTGGATGCCAGGACTGGGAGGTCTGACAGTGATTTTTTCACTATTAAAGACTCCTCCCTGCTTCCAGATAATGTACACCCAAAGGCTTCCTCAGGGCAAAAGGAAGCCTTGAAACCTGAAGGGGCAGAGAAGATGAAGCTTTCCATAAATTTAAATTAAATATTTCCAGCAGCCAATCCAGTTTATGCCAGCATATAGTTACACAACAGGATTTTGCTCAATATTTTGTTTTCCCACTTCCTAATGTGAAATACAGGAGGTAAGAAACTTTGTTCCATGAAAATTAAATCCTAGGAAAAACATTTCCTTTCATTCTTCTTAGTGAAAAGATTTATGAAAAAGGCCACAGTGTGTTGTATATATGCATTCACACACACATTTTCATTTAATACTTTTGGCCTGTTCATCTGGATTATGATATCACACACACACACCATCTTAATCTTCATTGGCTGTACAACAAGTCCAGCTAAAGCCAACTAAGAGGGACATTTCAGTTTTCTATTAAAATGAAAGCAGAACTGTGAGTAGCTGCAAGAAAAAAGTTATCCACTCGGTCTGTATATATGGTCTTGTATGCACGTAGACAATCTCCACAGAATAAATGTAGAGTTTAAGCCCAATGGCCAATTTAAAGGGGAAAAAAATTCTACTTGCTTGAGAAATCTATTCAGCTGAGTAGTACAACACTGAAACTTACGACTTCCTACAAAACATCAGCTTCCTTTTTTGGTGAATTTTCCGGGCAGGGAAAACACCATCTTTTGAGTCACTGACTCCCTTATTTGTGAGGTTGATGTTTCTCTGTTCACATAAATAGACTGTCGTTGGTGTGCCCAGGAATACAACCAGCACCTCGCAATTTGCTGCCAAGACTTATGATTTCTCTCATGCAAGTGCAAATCCTGTCTGAGGCAGACAGGAACACAAATCTGGAACTCACTGCCCAGATAGGGGTTCCCCCTAATTTGTTGTTGTTTAGTCGTTAAGTTGTGTCCGACTCTTTGTGACCCCATGGACCAGAGCACACCAGGCCCTACTGTCTTTCACTGCCTCCCAGAGTTGGGTCAAATTCATGTTGGTCGCTTTGGTGACACTGTCCAACCATCTCGTCCTCTGTCGTCCCCTTCTCCTCTTGCCTTCACACTTTCCCAACAACACGGTCTTTTCCAGGGAGTCTTCTCTTCTCATGAAATGGCCAAAGTATCGGAGCCTCAGCTTCAGGATCTGTCCTTCCAGTGAGCACTCAGGGTTGATTTCTTTCAAAATGGATAGGTTTGTTCTCCTTGCAGTCCAGGGTACTCTCAAGAGCCTCCTCCACACAGACACACGCACACGCACACGCATGCACGCACGCACGCAAGCGCACACACACACAAACACACACACCCAATACAATTAACCAAAAACAATCCACCCTGTCAAATGCAGCACTGTGGGAGACAGGAGAGGGAAGCAGGTCAAAATAGGTAAGGAAGTGGTAAAAGAACACATAGCTGCTTTGAATAAGTTCAAGTCTCCTGGACCGGATGGTTTACATACCAGGGTACTAAAAGAACTGGCAGATATTTATTTATTAGATTTATATACTGCCCATCCACAACGTGTCTACTCTGGGCGGTTTACATATAATATAAAATTTAACTAAGATAAAAAATATGATCTTGGAACCACTGAATGAAATCTTGAGAGATTCTGGAGCATGGGAAAACTGCCAGAGGACTGGAAAAGAGCTGATGTGGTTCCAATCTTCAAAAAGAGGAAAAAAGTGGATCCAGGAAACTAAAAACCAATCAGCTTGACATCAATACTGGGAAAATCCTGCAAAAAATAATCAAGCAGCAGATTTGTGAGCACCTAGAAAATAACAACTAGAAGCCAGCATGGGTTTGCTAGGAACAGGTCATGCCAAACAAACCTTATTGCCTTCTTTGGTAAAGTGACTAAATTAGTGGACCAAGGAAACACAGTGGATATAGTATACTTAGACTTCAGCAAGGCATTTGATAAGGTAGACCACAACCTACTTCTGTGCAAGATAGAACAAAGTGGGATACACAGCGCAACTACCAGATTTGCACCAGGCTGACCAACTGCACTCAGCTTGCGGTCCTCAATGGAACCACATCTATGCTGTGAGAAGTGTGCAGTGGCGTCCCCCAAGGTTCTGTCTTGGGCCCAGTGCTCTTCAACATCTTCATAAATGACCTGTATAAGGGGATTGAAGGAGAACTCATCAAATTTGCTGACGTCACAAAGCTGGGGGGAATTGCTAATACTTTGGAAGATAGACTCAACGTTCACAGGATCTAAGACAGCTGTTGTGGGCTTTTCGGGTTGTTTGGCGGTGTTCTGGAGGTTTTTCTTCCTAATGTTTCACCAGTCTCTGTGGCTGGCATATTCAAAGGACAGGAGCTAGAATTCTGTCCAGGTCCAAGACAGAACCTTGAGGGACCCCACTGCACACTTCCCTCCATGTAGATGTGTTTCCACTGAGGACCACACAGACAAAATTCTAGTTCCTGTCCTCTGAAAATGTCAACCAGAGACTGGCAAAACATTAGGAAGAAAAACTTCCAGAAGACAGCCAAACAGTCTGAAAAACCCACAACAACCATTGGATCCTGGCCATCAAAGCCTTTGAGAACACAATGATCTAGACCAGAGGCAGCAAACCTTTTTGGGCCTGAGTGCCCAAACTGAAAAAAACAAAGACAGTGGGTGGTGGGCTGTAGCAGAACCAGAAGTGGTGGTGGTGGAACTGGAAGTGGGTACAGAAGGGAAAATCCCGAGCATGGAGGTGCCTCGAGATCCCACTCTGGATCCTGGCCCGCTGCCTGTCAAAGCGCCAGCACCACGGCTGCAGCCACCTCCTGTACTTTGGCTGCAAGGGGTAAGTAGCGATCCAGCGACTTATGGTTCATGTGCCCACAGAAAGGACTCTGCGTGCCAGCTGTGGCACATGTGCCATAGGTTCACCATCGCTGATCTAGACAGACTTGAACCCTGGGCCCTATCCAATAAGATGCAGTTCAGTGGCGGGAAAAGTAAGGTCCTGCACTTAGACAGGAGAAAACAGATGCACAGGTACAGGATAGGTGGCACCTGGCTCGACAGTAGTATCAGTGAGAGGGATTTAGGTGTCCTGGTGGACCACTGCCTAAGGATGAGTCAGCAGTGTGCTGCAGCTGGCAAGAAAGCCAACACAGTCCTAGGCTGCATGAACAGGGGGATAGCATCAAGATCATAGGAAGTGATAGTACCACTCTATACCGCGCCGGTGAGGCCGCACTTGGAGTGCTATGTCCAGTTCTGGTCAACACAATACGAAAAAGACACTGAGACCCTGGAAGTGGTGCAGAGAAGAGCAACAAAGATGATAAGGGGACTGGAGGCTAACTCCTATGAAGAACAACTAAAAGAATTAGGTATGTTTAGCTGAACAAAGAGAAGATTGAGGGGAGACATGATAGCAGTCTTCCAATATCTGAAGGGTTGGCACAGGGAAGAGGGCATTGATTTATTCTCCATTGCGCCTGAGGGTAGGACAAGAACCAACGGGTGGAAACTCACCCGTCAGAGGGAGATCCAACCTGGAAACAATGAGGAATTTCCTGAAGGCGAGAACCATTAAGCAGTGGAACAGCTTGCCTCCCGATGTTGTGGGTGCCCCATCGCTGGAAGTTTTCAAGAAAAGATTGGTCAGCCATCTGTCTGGGATAGTATGAGGTCCGGGACAGTACTGGGCAGGAGGTTGGGCTAGAAGACCTCCAAGGTCCCTTCCAACCCTATGACAATTCTATGATTCTATGAATCAACATGCTTCCATATTTTAAGCCTATGCACTTACCAAAGGGAGGGGAACCATACATACCACAATATTTATGGCAACTCTTGTCACTCAGGGATTATAGGCAGTTGGTACCATAATTTCCATAACTTTAGAAGTAGAAAATTAAATACACCCTTAACAAAACCAAACTGATCAAGCATGTGAGTATATCCTCTGGTTAACAACATCAAACTTTTAACATCATAGTCTGAATCCTACTTGTCATTCCCACTCATCCATTTAATCATTTATTTTATTTATTTATTTATTGCATTTATATGCCGCCCATCTAGACATGGTCTACTCTGGGCGGCTCACAATCATGGGAATTTACAGTTGGTGATTCACTATTCAGCTACTGATTCAATTGCTCTCAGCTACCAATTGGATTTTGGACTTTTCCTTTACTAAATTTTAAAAAATTGCTACTCCTTTCTTTTATCTCTAGTCTTCCCTTCCTCATGGATGTACTTAGAAGCAGTCATAGAACTGCACATCTCAAAGGGACTCCAAGTTGATCAAATCCAACCCTCTGCCAAAACAGTAAACTCCTAGCTAAAGCATCCTTGATAAGTAGCCATCCTACCTCTATGTAAAAACCTCCAACAAAGGATAGTTCACCACCATTGGAAGCAGAGGCAATTGTGGAATAGTTACACATTCTAACCACCAGATGCACCACAACTAATCTCTGCAACAACACAACTTTTTTGTCCATCTCTTGTTACTACAGTTTCCTCAATGAATACCATTACAAGCAAGGCTCATATCCACCTACTGGATACAGTCAGAAGGCCCTTTCATACTTTACATTTAAGACCTGTGTATACGAAAATGTAAAGTGGTACATTCATATTCACAAACATCTATATGATGGAGAGATCTATTCCTCTACATTTTTAGCCTTCAGACCCATTCCACTTCCAGTAACTTTTTCCTGTAATTAAAAAAAACACTGCTAGGTATGCTTTTCTAAGCCCTGTTGACTTCAGTAGATTTCAGAAGCAGAATATTGTAGGCAAAGAAGTTGGAGAAACTTTTTTTCCCCCTGGGGATTCTTCCAGATGTAGCTCCAAAAAGGAGGAATTCCAAGTTTTCAACAAGTGCTCTAACATAAGACTTCAGTCTTCCTGGGCCACAGTGTTTCCACTTTATCTATTGTGTTGACTGCAAAATATGAAAGGAACAATGACTGTCCATTGCTGCTTGCAAAATATTTCCTTGACTGAGCAACATTGCCCAACCTATGTGCCTTGAGCTATGACTGTAACTTCCATGCTGGGTGGGACTTATGGGAGTTACAGTCTCACTCATCTGGAAGACATCAAGTTGAGGAAGACTGGAATGTGCTCTAGAGCAAGGGTCATCAACCCCTGGTCTGTGGCCCGGTGTTGGTCCGTCGGCTTGCTGGAACTGGGCCACAGATACATCTCTCTGTCACCAATTATTTCACTGGCTTAGCACTACTTCAGATCTTCCACATTTCTGATTAACTTCCAGCAAAGATTAGGGTAAGCATCAACCTACCCAATGTAATACATGATGAAAGCCATGAGGCTCTACAGTACTATGCTCAAAAGCAAAGTACTGGCTTGTTAAAGCAGAAATATACAAGATAAAATGAAATATGCAAAGAAAAAAACTACAAGACATCAGATGTGTTCAAGACAGCAGACATCATAATAGTAGTTATTGTTCATTCAGGAAGCAACTGAAGAATAAGGATATAGACTACAGTCCGCAAGCTAGTCAATTCAGAGTGCACATAATGAAGCCCTTGGGCCATCCCTTCCCAATGGATACTGTGTTATTTCTATAAACTACGCAAGACACATGACTGAACTTTTATAAAACCAGAAGAATTTGTGTGAAGTGATAGTTATAATATCAAAACTGTGGGGAGTAGGAATGTAAAGAACATTTGCTAAATTCTTTGTTCTTATTGATTTAGGATATTTTGATGGGACAAGGCATCTCAACAAAGAATTTCCAGACTTTGATGGATTTCATGCCTTCAGAGCAAGTGTGAAACAAGAAGCTCTTCAATTTCATCAAGGTCTTCAATTTGCTAAAAAAAAGCCTCAAAGTAATCGGTGTCCTTTACACACACACAGCAAGCACAGAAGCGGATGATTGTTCAAATAAACAAACAACCCAGTCAATGCTTCTAATTCTTAAAAATATATGAAATTAAGCAATTTGATATTACCTCTCCCAAAACTGCCTTGGAAATTAAAAACATTCTCACCAAAAATTTGCTCTATTTCAGGTGGAATGTAACACTTCCACACTTTCATGCATGAGAATGAGACAAAAGACTAGTTAGATGTATAAAAAAGATGACAGCTAAATTCAAATCTACATGTAGCCACAAAGAAATCTGATATGCATGCATACTAGATTCTCATATTTGGCTGGTGTAATAAAAGTATTGCTCAGTACAGTTTCTGGAATTCCACCTCATGGAGTTGTGGTGTGGATAAAAGAGAAGAGGGAAAAATCATGTATACAGCTATTGACCTCTTTGTAGGAAAGGCAAATTAAAAATGTAAAGATAAATAAACGATCTAATGACATTTCAGTAAAGTACAAAAGTACTTTCAGAACCTATGAGATGACTTCTTAGAGCAGCTTCCTCCAAAATAACTCTCAGCAAGGATGGGGACCCCTAAGTTATCACTCACTGTCAAACAGGACTTAAGTCACAATGGCAACTTGACTCAGAATTGATTTGGGCTTTAGAAAAAATTGGACTCGACTTGCAACTTGGACCCATTTTTCCAAGTCATGTTTTCAAGTCCCTATTACTTTAATGGAGACCTATTATGTATTTTAATGGAGACTGACCAGTCCACCAGCCTACCTATTTTCTTCTCAGAGTCCTGGCACTCAAACACCAAACCTAACTCGTTCCCTTTATTTATTTGTTTTCAGGCAGGCCTTGGTCTTTCCTCCACCTCCCTCTGCAACTATTTACAGTGGGGTCTTGACTTGAGAATTTAATAAAAAAATTGGACTCGACTTGCAACTTGCACCCATTTTCCCAAGTCATGTTTTCAAGTCCCTATTACTTTAATGGAGATCTATAATGTATTTTAATGGAGACTGACCAGTCTACCAGCCTACCTATTTTCTTCTCAGAGTCTTGGCCCTCAAACACCAAACCTAACCCATTCCCTTTATTTATTTGTTTTCAGGCAGGCCTTGGTCTTTCCTCCACCTCCCTCTGCAACTATTTATTTACCTCACTCTGGAGCTGCCTGCCCACCTTCTAGCACCAGACCACCCTTCGGTGTCAGTCCTCCTTGGCCTACATATCCCAGCACACCCTGCACACGTTCCCCAGTGTGCACCATTTTGCTCCTCTTAGCATTCCCTTGCCAGGCAAAAATGTAGAACTGCACTAACCACAAAGCTGCGCTGGAGCTTTGTGGGTGAAGCGCCTTCCTTCCTCCCTCATTGGACCCCTTGGGATAAGGTTGGTCTTTTGGGCTCCCCGGGAGAGCTAAAAGAGGGGGAGAAGAAAAAAGGGACTGGTTGGGAGGAGGAGATGGAATTTAATTGCTTTTAATTTAAAAACCACATTTTTTAAAAAAAATTAAAAGCTTTTTAATAGGGACTTGGAACTCGGACTTGAGGCTTGGGACTTCGGACTTGGTACTAAAGACTTGACAACATCCCTGAGTCTCAGTGTGTTGCATTTCAACCCTGATTGAAAGCTTTTTGGTTGAGGGTAATGAGAGATCTGGCTGTCTAGATAGCTCAACAGCTTAAGTATCTGGCTGCTGAGCCAGAGGTTGGGAGCTTGATTCCTCAGTATACCTCTTAGAAGAGCCCGATTGTGTTGCCTTGGGCAAGCTGCTCAGTCCTGGGGTATCCCTAAAAGCCACTTCTGAGTGATCTCTGCCTAGAAAACTCTGGAAAACATTACCATAAGTCAGAATCAACTTGTTAATGTGAGATATGGTCCAGCGTATTTTGAGGGCTCTACATTAGAAGAGGCTGCCTTAAACCCAAAGTAAATAATGGTGCCATGACATAATTATATTAGCATTTTCTCAGTGAAATCAATTATTACTTACCCTAGGAAACAGAAACGTCTTTTGTTGACATAGACCTAGTGATAGGATTTAACAAAACAAAATTTGGAATATGATTAGTCAAAAGCACTGATATTTTGTTGAAACTGCAAAGAGATGTAACATAAGTGCATTAGTTGCTGCGATGCAATGCCATTTACATCGCATTCAATTCAAGGGTAATATAATGTCATGGAAATAACTAGTTAGTTACATTCCACTTATTTCCTGTGCCAGAAATGCTCATTTATAAATTGTTAAAATTTTACATTCTCATTCTGCACAACTGCACAAGATCTTAAAATCTGGCTTAATTTTTCACCTTTAGGCAATTCCCTATAACTACACAGAGCACTTCAAACTGTGTTGGCCCTCTAACTGGAAGTCACTAAAGCCAGTTCAAATTGCCTACAGTGAACTCATACAGGGTAGGATATATGTGGAGCTCCAGATACTGTTGAACTATGACTCCTGTTATCCCTCACCAGCGGTATAGTTTAAATGTTGATTAGACGGAACACTGTTAGCTACTCGTTTTATGCAGTGTTTTGATTACTTAGATATGGTATCTTTATAGCATGTCTATGTCTTACAGTGAACTCATACAGGGTAGAATACATGTGGAGCTCCAGATAACTGTTGAACTATGACTCCTGTTATCCCTCACCAGTGGTATAGTTTAAATGTTGATTAGACGGAACATTGTTAGCTACTCGGTTTTTGCAGTGTTTTGATTACTTAGATATGGTATCTTTATAGCATGTCTATGTCTTTCTTTTTCATTTCTCCAGATAACCTAATTTTATTGTCATTTGTGTTAGTGTTCATGATAATTGCTTTTTCAGTTCTTCATGTTAATTTTAAACATCTTTGCTTTCTATGGATCTCTTGTTTTGATTCCTGATCAAAGGATTACATTCTCTATGCTCTATCATAAAATCTGCTGTACAAAACTGCGTGAAAGAAGTTATTTATTCAATCTACATCAAATTCTAAGCAGACTTTACTGTCAGGCTGAGGGAGGTGGCTGCCTCAGGCAAGAGATTTTGGCACCACAAAAGGGTCACACATTTTTAGTTGCTTATTTTGTTATTGGATGGTATTTTTTAAACCACTAGCAAGGGGAAAAGGCACTTTCAGGATTTTCTGTCCAAACAGCTACTGTATCTCTATATCTTGACACAGTCTGTATAGCGGAGAGGGGAAGTGTAATTATTGTCCTATTTCAGGCAAGAAAATGTCTTGGACAGAGCTGGCTCAGTCTAAACCAACAAACAGTTTTCATAAGCGCAAACACAATGACTCCAGTTATCTGTAACAAACACACTCACCTTTGAATTGGCACACAAACACTGCCCTTAAGCATCTACCATTTTACTATTGAAGAGCCACAATCCAGGGCATGCGTTACAATGACTTTTGAGTTTTCAAAAAAGTAGAA